AAGAGGGGAAGAAAAGCGCCTCCCCACTTCAGCTGGGCATTGGCAGAAACTGAGGCCGCATTAGGCGGCGGATGTTGCGCCCGTCGGTCGCTAGTAGTTCCGGTTGAGGAAGCCGCTCCAGGGGCCGGCCCCTTCCTTGCCTGCCTTCCCGGTGGCCGCTGGTTGGCTGAGTCGGCGTGCGCTCCTCTCAGTGTTGGCGTGACAGGAGGAGGGAAGAGCCGGAGAGAGCGCCGCCGCCGCTGGCTTGCCGGCTTGCTTGGAGTTGCTTCCTTTTAGCTGTTCGGACTGCGTCCACTCGCCCTTCCTTTCCTTCGTCCTCGTCCGCACGGCTGTTTGGGCGCCTGCCTCGCGCTGCCTTCTGCCTCTCCTCCCACTCCCACCCCCCTTCCTCTCTCTCTCGCTCAGTCTCTTTCCCCCTCCCGTCCCTCTCCTCTCCCCTCCCCTCCCCCCTTGCCCTTCCTCCCTTCGCCATGTCCACCCGTTCGTGCCGGGAGAAGGCGCAGAAGCAGAACGAGCAGCACCAGGCCATCCTGGCCAAGCTTCTGCGGGAGGAGGACAACAAGTACTGCGCGGACTGCGAGGCCAAGGGTGAGTCACCTGGCCGGGCGGAGGGGGGGGGGAGGGGGAAGGGGCGATTTGAGGGAAGGAGGGTTGACAGGAGGGAGGGTGGAGGTCTGCTCAGAGGGCCTCGTTGTGTCTAGGGGTGTTTGTGGTGTTGGGCGCGGGAGTGGGAAGGAGAGGGTAGGGACTCCTGAAGGCCGGACAGCTTTCATGGGGCTTTGACTTCCTTCAGAACTCAAGAAGGGCCTGACCGGTGGCTGGGTCAGAGCCCCGGGCCCAGATCCAGCACGATTGTTTTCTGGCCGTGGACGACTAGCAGAGGAGCCGAGGCGCCGAACGTCTCCCTGTTGTAGCCTCTTAACAGTTGTCCTTCAGAGGATCGATGCCTCTGGATGTGGAGGTTCTATATGGCCACTTTTTCTGGTAACCCTCAGTGAGAGTCTCATTCTTCATGGATTTGTTTAGTCTTCTCTTTTGAAGCCACCTGTGCCAGTGGCTACCACCGCATCCTGTGGCAGCAGGTTCCACAAGTCAGTTGCTGGTGGTGTGAAACTGTGTGAGGTTTTTCTGCCTTCGACCCACTTGCCCTTCCAGTTTATTGAGTACTTTTGAATTCTAGTGTTTGAGGAGAGAGAAGGAAAGCTCTGTCTCCTCTTTTTGGTCACCCTGTGCATATTTGTATAAAATTTTGCTGTGTTCTTTCTTAGTGAAAGGGTTTTTCTTCCTAAGCTGAAAAGTTTGACTTCTGTCATCACTTACTGCTTATCATTGTCATAATTACACCTACTTCCTGACATTGATTGTGTGTGTTGATAGTCATTTCAGTCTTTGTGGTTGTTGGGAGGTAAAAGCTTTAAGCTGTGATAAAAGCATCTCTGTATCCTTCAAAGATCAGGCGTCATTTGAAACAGCAGTTATCAGCAGTCAGTCCCAGAACCTTCCATTTTTCTTCCAGTGATCAACCTCAGCCCTGAACCAGAGATAACATTCTTTAGAGTGATGTTCAGAAGAGGTCCATTATACCTTGTAAATCTCTGATGAAGAAGCTATAATTCCATGTGTTAAATTTATTCATTTTAAAATAAAATATTTATACCCTGCCTTGCCTGAAGCATTTGTAGGGATTTCAGTCCACTGTGAAACACTGCAGCTGGAATTTTAAACTGTTTTACCTGAGAATAAGGCCCATTGTACTCAATGGGTCTTGCTTCTTTAGGCTCAACATGCATGGCTGCCCTCCCCCCCCCATATTAGCACCAGTGAATAATCACAGCCATCCCATGTGCATATTGAAACTTGGAAGGTGAGCATCCAAGATAGAGGTGGTAGCTTCTGGATACTGTTCACTTTAGAAAAAGTGTCAAGAGTTAATTAAGCTCCTCCTTTCCCCTCTTTGAGAAGACTCATATGTCTGCATATTTCATGTAATTGGTAAAAAGAAAGGGAAATACACCTTGAGGGAACAGGGTCATAATGCTGAAGTGAGACATCTCAGGTTTGAGTATTCTGTGAAGTTTGGAAGGGAACACACTGAAGAGCATGGATATGATGAGAACTGATGAAAAGCATTGTGATGTACAAGTACACAAGACAAAAAAGAGCATAATGGAAAGGATCATGTGGTTTTGAATGAATGTCGATTTGTTTGTTTTTAGGCTATGATGGCAGGTGTCAGGGGAGATTTCAGTCCCTAGCAGGCTGAAATACTTACGTTCATATTGTTTTCATATTAAAGTACTTATACTTAGAATTGAGCAGCTTTATCTAAAGTCTATTGTCAGTAATTACTCTGCAATTCAGAATTGTTGCTCTAGGTGTGATAGTACACCTTCTTTACACTTAACACACTCCAGAAATAACAAAGACAGAGTTTGACAGTTGCTTGTATACCTGTTTGAGTAGGCTGGTAATAACCCTGTACTTCTAAAATAGTCTTGCTTCTTTGTGTGAATTAGAACTTGTTAGATTATTCTGTAGGCTGGGAAAACAGCCTCTGTGGTTGCCTGGAATGTTTGACCTAGAACTTCCCGGATGTTTTATTGTGTTGCCCTTCCTCCACTGTTCATCGCAAGCTCTAGGAGTGAGTCATATTTCAGTGGGTTGATGCTTGCTCCAACTTAGCATACATCAGGAAGTCACTTCCTTAATAGATATGGAGTTGCTTGTGGGGAATGATGAAGCACTGGGAATAGCAGAGAATCCTGATTTCAGAAGTCAGAATAATGTTTGTAGTCTTGGGCTGAGAAGCACTGCATATTACAGTGATTCACTAGGTTCGTAAAAGAAGTTCCATGATCTGGGTTTCAAATTTGTCTTCTTACATTTTAATTTTTAAGATGGTTTGAAAGTTCACAGACAGGACTGTATAAATGAGGCTGAACTATTTTCTTAATTCTCTGATCAGAGGACTGTAAGATCAAGCAAATAAGTTCTTTGCATACTTTACATTTGCATAATGTGTCATGGGTGACAAAAGAACAAAAAAGCAACTGCAGTAGTCCAGAGCAGTCGGTGTAGTGGTTAAGAGCAGCAGACTCTAATCTGGAGAACTGGGTTTGATTCCCTACTCCACCACATGCAGCTGCTGGGTGTCCTTGGGTCAGTCACAGTTCTTTCAGAGCTATTCTCTCATGAGCAGTTCTTGAGAGAGCCCTCTCAGCCCCACCTACCTCACAGGGTGTCTGTTGTGGGGAGAGGAAGGGAAGGAGATTGCAAGCCGCTCTGAGACGAGTGGGGTATAGATCCAATCTCCTCATTTTCCAATTTCAGACCAATCTTTAGCCCAAACTTGTAATATGGAAATAAGTCTAGTCTTCCCCCAGCTGTGTACCTCTCCTCCTTCTTCTTTCTCAGTCTCTTAAAGTAATACCCTAAACACATCAGGAAAAAAAATGGTGTTGCAATCATTGTTGTGTTCAGCTTTAGGTATTGATGTGACCCACTAATGGAACCTGACTCCCAGTTTCTGTGTTGGTCTGCAGCAGAAGAGCAAGAAGGTCCAGCAGCACCTTAAGGAGCCATCCCAGGCTCTGTGACCCAGAGGAGGGGCAGGATAGAAGTCTAGAAAGAATTTTTTATAAATTAGACCAACAAGATTTCCAGGGTATAAGCTTTTAAGAGTTAAAACTCCCTTCGTCACATACAAGTAGGATTTGAGATAGATCATTGAGCCTTTATATCCCCAGTCAGGGATATAAAGGGGTGTTGCAAAGGAGGGACTCCTTGGATATTTTGTTTGTCTTCCAGGTGCTACTGGACTCGAATCTTGCTCTTCTGACTCCCCAGCTGAAAACCAGTGATCTTTTAAACTGTGCAGTAGCTATAGTTTAATGCTGTAAGTTGGTCAGATTTTCACTATTGGAACTAAGGGTTATTTACCCAATCTTGGTTGGGGTTTTTTTTGGGGGGGGATAATATCAGGGCAGTAAAATATTAAACCCCAATATTCAAAATATCATCTCCAGTTCTATACTTTCAGTCAATGGTACCTTTGAATCCTCTTTCATCCTAAACATGCATGGAACCTTGGGTTTGAAGAGGGCTGTAAATTCTTCCTGGCAGTGCAGAGGGAGAGTGAAGTAGTCTGTGGTATTTTTAGGTTTATGCTCATTGTGAATCTGAGTCCAAATGATAAAAGTGGCTTTATGGTTATGATAAGACATGGTTTGCTTAGCTCACGGTTTGTTGCACAAATCTTGGTTAGTCTGCCTAGTAGACCACAGTAAGTTTGTATACTCCGTGAAGATAGATTCAGGTGGGTAGCCATGTTGGTCTGAAGCAGCAGAGCAAAGTTGGAGTCCAGTGGCACCTTTAAGACCAACAAAGTTTTATTCAAGGCATCTGAAGAAGTGTGCTTGTATATGAAAGCTTATACCTTGAGTAAAACTTTGTTAGTCTTAAAGGTGCCACTGGACTCAAACTTTGTTTTGTATGCTCCAGTTAATCTACTATTTGGCTTCTTTACTACCTCAGGCAGAATTCCTGAATGCTGTTCCAAGCTCCTTTGTATTGCCCTGCTGCTGTTATTGGTCATCTCTCCTTATATATAATTGAATAGTGGGTGCCAAAGTTCTAATTCTAAAATGCACTCCCTTAGTGTATGGCTGATGGCACTGCTCCTCAGCATATATCGCCACCAATCAGAAGGCAAAGCCCGGGTCCCGCCCACACCACAACTGCCGCGACAACCTGGTCTTTTCATATGGAAGCTGATTGGACTTCACTCCATTCCCCACCTCAAACCCCCCCCCCCCCGCAAGGCAGTTGGAATGTCAGTTGCATATGGAATCTGCTGTATTCTGGTGGTGTGCAGGTCCCAGATTCATGTTTTAAAAGCAGACTGACACTGTTTGCCCAAAGCCAGAGCACTCTCCCAGAGCCTCTTTCTAGATCCCGTTGTATTTATTTCCACAACGGGCCTTATTTCTAGTTCCCAATAAATAGGCAGCAAATTGATAGGCAGGCTTAGGACAAGCCAAGCTTCCTCTGAAATGTTTGGACTGTTTCCCCAGCTAAGGTAGTTTTCAGTCACCCACCCTTTCCTCTTTTGGGCTGTTTCACTGCCTTTCCCGAAGTATGTAACTGAAACAAATACATCTTAGACAGCCTCCTCCCCCCACCCGCTGATTTGTGACATTCCCTAACCTTGTAAAATAAACTCCTGGGGGAAAGCAAATGCAATAATGGCCAGATCACTAACTCAGATGTTCTTTCTCTGGACATAAGAAGGGTTTAAAGGGAGAGCTCTCTTTATGAGGAAGAAAGTACAACAGTTGGTGGATTGCGGGCTGTATTAATATGTTTTGTGTGAACCAATTTCTATTATGTATGTTGGGAGACAGAATGAACCCATGGAACTGAGCAAGAACTTTTGTCCCATTGCTCTTTGGATTTGTTCTCTGTAGGTGCTTATGCACCTGCTTAGCAAGTCATCACTGGAAGGGGTGTTTGGGAATTGATGGAAGGTGCAGGAAGGTAGGGAGGGAAGAGGAGTCTTGAAGAAGCAACACCAAATGCTCCCTGACTGT